GGCTCCTCAGGCTGGGGGGACAGGTGCGGCTCCTCAGGCTGGGGGGATAGGTGTGGCTCCTCAGGCTGGGGGGACAGGTGTGGCTCCTCAGCCTTCGAAGATAGCAGTGGCTCCTCCGGCTGGGGGGACAGGTGCAGCTCCTCAGGCTGTGGAGATAGATGGGGCTCCTCGGGCTGGGGGCACAGGTGTGGCTCCTCAGACGGTGGGCAGAGTTGCAGCTCCTCAGGCCGGGCACAGAGATGCGGCTCCTCAGGTAGTGGCGACAGGGGTGACTCCTCCAGCGGCAGGGACATGAGTGAGTCCTCCGGTGGTGGGGAAGCAGGTGAGTCCTCAGGTGGTGGGGATGTAGGGGAATCCTCAGGTGGTGGGGAAAGCCGTGAAGCCTCAGGTGGAGGGGACATGGGAGACTCCTCAGGCGGTGGGGACAAGGGAGATTCCTCAGGCGGTGGAGACAGGCGTGACACCTCAGGCAGGGGAGACAGGCATGATACCTCAGGTGGGGGGGACATAGGTGATTCTTCAGGTGGTGGGGACATAGGTGAGTCCTCAGGTGGTGGGGATAGGCGTGATGCCTCAGGTGGTGGGGAGAGGGGAGACTCCTCAGGTGGAGGAGACAGAGGAGACTCTTCAAATGGTGGGAACAGACGAGACGCCTCTGGTGGTGGAGACATGGGTGACTCTTCAGGTGGAGGGGACATGGGTGACTCCTCAGGCGGTGGAGACAGGCGAGATGCTTCAGGTGGTGGGGAAGTGGGCAATTCCTCAGGTGGCGGGGACAAAGGAGATTCCTCAAATGGTGGGGACAGGGGTGATGTTTCAGGTGGTGGGGACAGGGGCGTCTCGAGTGCAGGAGATGGGGGTGACTCTTCCGGTGGACAGAAGGGCGACTCCTCCAGCGGAGAAAAAGGTGATGATTCAGGTGGGGGAGACAGAGGAGACTCCTCAGGCGGCGGAGAGAGGGGTGATTCCTCTGGCGGCCGGGACAGGTGCAATGCCTCAGGAAGCGGGGACGTGGGTGATTCCTCAGGTGGTGGGGACAGGCGTGATGCCTCAGGCGGTGGGGACGTGGGTGATTCCTCAGGTGGTGGGGACAGGGGTGACTCCTCAGGTGGGGGCAGCAGTGGCATCTCCTCATTTTGGGGGGCCTCCAACTGGTGCTCAAGTTGGACTCCTGCTCTCCCTGCAGACACAACACACAGTGCTCCTATCTAGCTCAGATCTACTCCACAGAAAGTGCAGGGTCTGGGGAAACGCAGAAACTGTCTCTTGCCACAGAATAAAAGGGGATGAATTTCAGGGACCCTCAAACCCTACTCACCTAGTGGTTTGGCTTCACATTGCAGGGGCCCCGGTTCCTTGGGTTGCATAGAGGTCACGTGCCCACCCTTTGGCTGCCCTTGGCATGCAACGTACAGAGCATCGGGCTCATCAGTGGGGGTATCGCCGGGCTCTGGGGGTGAAAATCTGCAGAGGGTACAGGGGAGCAGGCACTGTGGCTCTCACCAGCTAACAAATCCTACAGAGCACACTGGGGCGAGGCAAGAATGCTGTGGATGGCACTGCCCACCTTGGAGCTCTCCTCTCAAAAGTCCACTTGATTTAACATGGCCCCTGCCAACCTCTGTCCTTTCAATCTGCCAGCCCAATCTCAGCCAGTCCACACTGCTTACCTGCTACACACAGGGGTATGCTGCTCAGCAACGGAGCTGAGAGGCTGACCTCCCTGGGCTTTGTGACAGCGGTGACAGAGAGAGTAGTTCTCAAACCACTCCGAGTTGGGATTCAGTTCTGCCGAGCCTGCCCCACAGGCCCGGCACACCCGGCATGCCTAGGGGAAGGAAGTGGGCAAAACGTGCATTGGTCAAACAGCAAAGACTGAAGGAAAGTACAGGCCTTGTTAAGACAGAGAATGCTGTAGGAGGCAGAATCAGGGTACACTCACCTTACACTTCCAAGAGTGAGCAGGCAGTTCCTCCATGGGTGGTTTTAGGCAGAAGGTATGGTATCCTTTGTCACACGTCTCACAAACCAACATCTTAGAGTCATTCCCAGGTTTCCTGCAGGGGCACAGGGAATGTGACAATGTCCTCTCTGCCTTCGTTTCCTTTCTTTTTTGTTGTTTTCATGTTAAGAGGCCTTCTCCAACTGCCCTCATTTTCAACCCTAACCTGTGATGTGCCTAAGACTTCCCTCCTGCCCTTCCATTCCTACCTGCAGGCTTGGCACACTTTGCATTCAGGGCACTGCCAGCCAGCACGTTTGCGGGCAGTCAGAGCAGTGTCCAGGCAGGCCCCATGATAGTGATGCCCACAGCTGGTACAGAAGAACAGGTCACACAACTCCCCTGGCCCCTCACACACTGCACAGCGAGCCTCCTCTGCAGGGGATAGAGACAGCACAGGTTAGCTATGGATTCCCTGAAAGCCTCAGCACAGTGCTGTACACACAACAGGCACTCCACGGGCACAGAATGAACAAATAACAAAGTTACTGAGTGCCTGCCCAACGCCTGCCAGCTACTGTTCTAGGCACTGGAAACACAGTGGAAAATGAGACAGGCAAAACTCTGGTGCTCACAAAGTTCACAACTATTTTAATGGGGCAGACTAACAGTATATAATTCTATGCTTTGATCAGTGCTCTGCAGAGTACAAAAATCCAAGGCACACTTGGTCTCTCATTGGCGCTATGTCCAAAGGTCAGGACTTCTCACCCAGATGTGCAGCCCCCTCACTGTGCTCTGGGCATAGCAGCTGCAGTGTTTTCATGGATAGGAAGGAACCGCTGGCAGTTGCACAGGGGAAGTGGTAAAGCCGTGGACATCCAGGTGAGCGGCAAGGGATGGAGGCACCGAGCCTGGTGCAGTGGGAGCAGCGCTGCCAGGGTGAAGAAGGCTCAGCGTCAGCCAGCTCTCTCCAGAGAAACAGTTCAGGCACTAGTTCTGCCCCAGTATACCCATGGTCCTTCTCATTCCACCCTGACTCACAGAAGCCCACCAGCCCTGTCCATCCTCTGCAAGAGCAGCCCTGCCCTTCACCTATGCAATCCTCTGGCCCCAGCCCCACCTGTGAGATCCCTGAGAAGATGGCCTTGTCCACACCACATAGTTGTGGGCCCTCCTGCCCCCATACGCCTGCCGACCACGCAGCACACCAATGGTGAGCCCAGCAGGACCCTTTACAGGTGGGAAGAGGTAAACAGGAAGGAAAGAGTTAACAAAAAGAGGCTGGCTGGCTCAGGACTACCCAGCCCTTATCCCATTTCCTGCCCCATTCCCCTCACTCACCTCCAGGTTCTCCTAGGTGGGCAGGTGTAAGGCCCTCAGGGAAACCAATCTGTGATAGGTCCTCACTGGGCAGCACTGCCTCATTGGGCCCTGGGCTCCCCCCAGGGGACACCACTGGACACCGGGGCCAATCAAATGGCAACTCAAAGCGCTGTAGCTCCCGCTGCCCGTGCAGACTGGGCTCCCCGCAGTTACAGAGAGCACAACGCCGCACTGGACCCCCACTGTGGACACATAAGCATCAGTACCACGCCAGGCCCCTGCAACCCTATGATTTGGCATGCCCATGCTTCCCCAACACTCATTTTCCTAAATCCTCTTCTTGAAAGCCCTAGACTCTCAAATCAAATCTTCATGTGCCCTCAAACAAGTTACCTGCAGTCCTGAGGAGTGTCCTGAAGCCTGGGACTCCCAGAACTAGGGACAGAGACCTCCCCCACATGTGGGTTAGGCAGGTCTGACTCAGTGGCACCTGGGTCCTCAGAAGCTGCAGGTTCATCAGCTGAATAAACAGACAAACAGCATGTGTCAGCCATCATCCCTATTTAATACGAAGTCCACTCACCAGAAGCATGAGATTATCCAAAACCCTCAGTGGCTCAAAGTGATGGTATTTCAACTGTTGTCCCAAAGAACAAAGTTGTTTCATTATTTATCTACTGCATAGACTTAGCTCACATCCTTGTGCCAGGACCAGAATTGTAAGGTTGCCCATGAAATCTAAAAGCAAACACAGAATCTGTCCTACTCACCTGCCGGTTCTGAATCTTTATCCTCACCAGGCAGCTTCTGGCTGTCCATCCCTCTCTCCGACTGGGCAGGGCCCTCTCGGGGAGACCTGTTGGTGCCAAGAGAGAGATCTATATGCCTAGTAAGTCTTCCCAAGAAGCACTTTTCCCAGAATCCCAGGAAGAAGGCATCCAGACCCTCCAGACATCAGAGCAAAGCCATACTAAAAACTCCAATACTGACAAGGAAAGTCATTCTCCCTAACCTGTCCCCCCACTGCCTACTTCCTCCCAAGATAAACACATACCCTCTTTTCACACTCTGGAGAGATTGTCAGGGGGTCCATTTGACTTTCCCACTTCCAGCCTCCTCTGTAAGAGTTCCTGGGGCCATAGCATCCAACTAGAAGCAAATCCATTTATACCTAATACTGCTCTTTGCCTTGCTTCTGGGTTTTTGGCTTCTGGTGAGCCCTATCCCCACACCTTTTCCTCAGGTCTCAAGTAAGCTATCATTCCAGAGACCAGTCAGTGCCAACCCAGGGGCAGTCATGACCCAGGAAGCCTGAGTCCAGCCAAAATCCTTCTCCCAGAGGCACAGTCTGAGGCACTGCAAGAGATGGAACACACTATTGGAACTAAAGCCTAGCTATGGATGGATCTCCCCCACCACCACTTGTTTCTACGAGGACATCACCATCACAAGAAACTCCCTAATTTCCACCCACTTCCAACCCAAATGCAGCTCAGACCAATGCCTGGACCCTGCCCTAACTGAGCTCAGGGTCTCACCCAGCCTGAAGGTCTCAGGTCGTTGCCCTTAGCGACATCAACTGCCCTTCCTCTTCAGATATCTCTAGTAGTTAACAGAAGTGGACCTTGAGAGATACTGAGCATGTGTAGCCAGGCCTGAAGCTAAGCATGCTGGGAGTTGTAGTCTCAGGAAGCATAGAGCCACTCAGAGGAGTTCTAAACAGGGCAGGACATAGCACAGCAGAGCAGAGTAGCTTCCTTCCTCTTCCCTTAAGCAGGGTTTCCACACACATACATGGGGGTGGGGAATAACGGTCCCTTGTCCCTTCTAAGAAATTCGTGCTTGTATCAAAGCCAAATGAAACTATAGTTATACCTAAAAAAGTTGAGACTTATACCTTTGGGCATTATTTTCCTAGATTTCAGAGGGAATTAAGCACAGCAGGAGAAAAAGAATTACAGACATGAGGAATAGGAAAGGGATAGGTGCCAGCAGCTTGTAGTGGGAAGTGTAGACCCTTTCTCTTAATCAGAGAAAATATACAGTGTTCCTAGATAAAGTAGTGATGACGTGGGGGAAATCCTTAAAACAGCAACTCTAAACAATCAAAGTTTGAGAAATTCATCTCTCGCCTTTTCCATTCTTCTCGATTAACCGTAGTGACCACACCAACCTTTGCAAGGACAACCCCCTCCTCCCAAGATAGAAGGCAAATACCCCAGCCAGCCACTTAGGGATGAATGACTGGGGCAAATGAGACAGAGGGAACCCTCAAAGGTGCCCCAAATGAGTAAATCAATTCCCTAATTCCACAATATCACTCCTCCTGCCCAGAACTCACCCTTTATTTCCAGATA